TTTTTACAAATTTAAATCATTTTTTTTTTATTTGATTAAAATCCAATTAGTAGATTAAATTTTATTAATGTTTTTTTTAAGTTCCTATTATAGAGGTTTCATATTGTATAAATATTATTAAAAAATTAAAAATAACAAATTTTTATTTATATATTTAATTAATTTTATTACTATTAAATTTTTAAATAATTTTTATTTTTATTAATTTATATTTAAACAATTAAATATCTAAAATTAATTAAAATATTATATCTTATTAAACTTTAAAATTTTTTTTTAAATATTTTATATAAAATATAATATTTTATTTAATATTTATTCTCTTTAATTATTTTATTTTATAATTTTTTTTTATTTGATTATAAATTTTTGAATTTTTTTTTAATATAAAAAAAATCATTAATAATTATTTATGAATATAATAGAATAATTAGTTAAAAGAAAATGTTTATATTTAAAAATAATTTAATAAATTTTATTTTATTTATTAACATTATATATAAAATTATTTAATAATTTTTATTTTTATTTATTAACATTATATATAAAATTATTTATTAAACCTTTTAAATAATTAAAATAATTATCAAACCTATATTATAAATATTAAAATTATATTAAAGATTAATAAGTAATTTTGTTTGTTATACCATATTCCTTTGAAAATAAACAACCTTTTTTTATTATAAGGTTGCTTATTTTCAAGTATTTTCAGAATTTTATAATATTTAATATATATTGCTTATAAAATTCATTTTCAAAAAATTTCAAATTTGATCCTGTGACTGTTGGTCATCTGTTTATTACGTTTAATTGATATTTTTATATTTGATCAGCTATTATTATGTAAAAATATGAACAAAACTGCATTAAAAACTTCATTCCAATTCATTTGTATGTTTGTAAAAAAAAATGTCACAACCTATAAGAAAAAGGATTGTTAAATGCACTTCATATTCTATTAAACAAAAATATAGGTAGTTACCTACGTGAAAGAATACAGACAAATTAAGGCTGCAGCACACTTAATGCTTGTATATGATTCTTTTAGAGGTTATTTAAAATAATAGGTTAAAAGAAAAATTTTATGAATGTGACTTTGATCTCGTGGTAATATTTGCTAATCACCTAATATTGCGATAAACATACCATTTAAAAATTATCTCTATATGGAATGGCATACTTAGGTGGTTCATAGTAGTACAAGATAAACAGCTGCGAGAAACCTTTATCATGCTAAGTTTAATGATATATGTTTATGGATTAAAAATTCCTAAAAAAGAATTTCTGCATAGGATCCTTTAAGATATGTGAACTATCGATTGACTTAAATGAATCAGATTCTGATTTAGAGATTATTGATAAAGACGACATTGATACCAATAACAATGATGGTGATAGTGATGATAATGGTGATTGTGATGATAATGATGTGAGTGATATTAATAATGACAATAATAGTACTAGCGATTGTGTTTAATATGATAAAATAAAATTTAAGAATCTATTATAAATATATTTTCAATTGTTTTTTAAATAACAATTATAAAATTATATTAATTTAAAGTATCATATTGCTTATTTTCAGATATAAAACTATTTTCAGGATTGTTTATTTTTAGAGGTTGCTTATTTTCAGAGGAATACAGTAAATTTTAATAATTTATATTAATAAAGTTTTATTATATTTTTTTTAAAAAAATTCTTTTTATTTCTTTTAATTTATTGAAAATTATTTAATTAAAAAAATTTAAAATAGCAGTTATTTTATAAAATAATAATAAAATAATAATAATATATCTTATTTTATATATTACATTTTTATTTAAAATTAATATATAATATATAATAATAAAATGATAAATTTAAAATTATTATTTTTTTACATTTATAGTTAATTTCTATTTCTATATAAAAAGATTTTTTTTGAAATTTTACTTATCTAATATATTTATATTAAAAAAATAAATATTTATTAAAATAAGAAATAATTTTATAATCAAAATTAAAAGAAATTTAAATAATTAATTAAAATTAATTAATCTATGAATAAAAATGTATTTTTACAAATAATAATTTAATTATTTTGGTTTTTTAAAGCACATAAATTGTAAACTAGTATTTTTTCTACTTTCAATCAAAAATTGTTTTACACTACTTAATTCAGAATCTAATCTACCATTCCCTGATGAAGTATCATATAATTGTTCGATTGTTGTATAAATAAGTTGTAATGTTTCTTGTGCTTGCGGGGAAACATATTGTGCCAATGTTTGATTCATAAATTCAATTTCAAGCGTTGCCTAAACACAAAAAAAAAAAAAATTAAACCCGAATCAAAAAGTCTTATTACTTTTTCTTTAAAAAAAAAAGATTTATCTTACCTGGCACATTCCACCTAAACTAAATTTCTCTACTTTTGAAAAAGCTTCAAGACAATCATGTGCCATAGATTCCAATAATACTGTTAATGCACGATTAATTAATGGTTTGGCGATATCACTAATTTGTGCATGAACAAGTACGAGTGATAACAAAGCTTCATACACAAAAGAATGCACCTCTAAATAAAAATCGATATAATTTAGTTAATAATTAATAAGAATTATTATTATTTGATAATTAAGAATTTAAAAATATGAATACTTTACCTGTAGGTTTAGATATGTTTGACCAATCAATTTCACCTGAAAGAATACCATTTGTAATAATATCACGAACATTTGCAGATTTGCGTTTTATATAATCCTCAAACAAAATACCATCAAGTTGATCAACAACGGTATTAAGTGACTAAAAAAAAGTTTAAATATTACAATAAAATTTATATCAAAGATTTATATTAAAAATTAAGACGTTTACTTCAATATCTTCCACCATACTGCATTTATAAGCGGTTTCAAATTGGGATACAATTCTTGGTATCATTAATTGTTTAAGATTGGAAAAATTACTAATAGTGAGCAAAATCCTTGAATCCTATGATAAGAACATAATAATAAATATCTTACAATGGAAAGATCACAAGAGATATTCAACAACAAACCATTTGAGATGGATCAATCCTTGTTTTGTGAATAATGTCTGTGGGTTCTTTTTCGATGACAGTTTCAAGTGGAGTATAATCTGTAAATACAAGATGAACTAAACCTTCCAAGTAAGCATAGATAGAATTAAGGAAAGCTTCTTTGATCTTATAGAAGTAATTCTCGGGTATTTTCGACTTCTTTATAAAGAAATTTTTTAAATAAAAGAGTATCATAAAATACAATCATTTTTAATCTTTAGACTTACGTTATCCTCTTTATCAGATACATAATTTAGGCTTGCGATTTTGTAAGCACTGCGAGAATTATACTTGTGGAATATATGAAAGTTCCGCAAGAAATTGGTAATTTCACGGTTATCTTGGTCAAGAGACCAGTCTTCAAGATAAAAGAAATTTTTTGCATCTAAAATAAAATTTATAAGAAAGAATATTATAATACATAAATCTATCAAAGAAACGTAATAGATATTTACCCGCATTCCACGTTTCACAAATAACTTCTATGAAACACCACCTAGTTTGATCCATTAACGTAGATAATGTACCAGAGGCATCAGATGCCATATTTATAGAATTAATATCATTTACGCATTCATTCATTTCCTTAAGAACCTTTGTTAAAAAGTAACAAGTAGTCACAGAATCTGAATGCGATGGAACGAATGATGGCTTTTTATAGGTAGTAATTGGAGAAATTGGAGTAACTGGCGTGCTAGGTTCATCAGATGGCGACAGACTAAATAACTCCGATAAAAATGATGCGTAAAGCTCGATTACTCCACTTGCCATTTTTTCGCATTGATCTACCTTTCGTAAATCCATTCCTTGACGTCTACGCTTATTAGCACTTAATACTGTGGGACTCTTCAATGAAAAAAAAAAAATTTTAAAAAATATAACTCAAATTAAATTACAAGAGAATATGTGAAATACCTTTTGAAACTTTCCGTCCATAAAAGATTTGCTTAATTTCCAAAAATCTGGTAGGCATCTCAAGAGCAAATCCGATAATGATTTTACAATCTCTAATATTGCCTTCCACATTTGTACATCCATTTCTTTGCCAGCTTAATATTCATAAAATAAAAAATGTAAATATATTATAGATGTATTCCTAAACTATATAGTTTCAACATTAAATTATTTCTTTCTTTTTAATTATAAATTTGATTGTCTAAACGTTTTTAAATTATCCTAAGCTAAACTAGTTTCGGTTTGCAATCATTACTAATTTTTTTGTTTTTAGTTCTGGTTTGTTCGGGCGGCGCCACTAATTTATATAAATTTTTTAACACATACCTATTAAGGAATCGAAATCCCTTAAGTTGACACTTCTAATAGATTTCTTGAGACGAATCGCCATTTCCTTATTATTGCTATAATTTTCTGGAAATGATTTCTTTAAAGCTAAAATTTCAAAAGAAATAATTATTAAAATATATACATATACATATACATATTTATATGTAACTTTTTTTAATGCGACAAACCTTGGATCTTATCTAACTGTTCTTGATACGATTCCTTGAGAAGGTCAATAATAAATTTATATTGACTGTCAAGATAATGCCATACCGGGTCCTCCACTGTTTCAAGCTCCAGAAGTATACTAAAAGATTAAATGATCATATTACAAAAACTATATATTAAAGAAATATAACTATTCTAAATATTATTCTTACTTGATAGTTTTTTCTTGTTCTTCCATTGATCTCCAAGGTTCGGTTAATTGCTTGAATAACTGATCTTTCATCTCTTCCATGATCTTATCAACTTCTAACCAAACTTTATCAAAGACCTTCCTATATTGAGCAGAAAGGGCAGTCTCATCATATTCTCTTTCTGAGGCTGCTCCATTAGTATCAGTTCCTTCTGTTCCCATAGTTGAATCTAATACGACCTTTCCTTTCTTATAATCTCTGATTACCATATCGTATTTTTGCTTTATAAAGGATTTATTATTAATATTGATTTGTAACATTAATTGATACAAAAAATATTTTTATATCATTCTAAATACCTGTTTCATAGACTCCATAAGGCTGCTAGGTAAATTAAAGAAATATTTGTATTTTTCTAATACACTCAAAGTGCTACGTATTTTATCAGCTTTGCTTCTATTAGCTAAAACCGGTCCAAAAACTTGTTCCGCCCTATCACAAGCATCTAAATTATTTAAATTGACCAAGTTAATATTCTTTTTTCTGAATCTTTGAAACTTCATTTAAAAACCCATACCGGAGATTGCATTATCCAACACATTAACACCATAACCGCTTTCAGGATTCAAACTCTTCGCTTTCATTTCGCCATAAACAGTATCTATGGTGTTTTTCGCACTTACGAATCTATCAAAATTATCTTGAACTAAATTACGAAGAGCTTCGGATTTTTGGTCCAAAGTATATCTTAAAAAATCTGCTCCTCTCAATAAATCCGCATAAGGAGTGTCGCTATGTACTTGGCGTAAAAAAAGCTTTGAATTGAAGGTTTTTTTTCCGACGATTATTTGCGATTCTAAAAAAAAAAGAAAAAAGCGTTGAACAATATTAGATAAATTAAATAGTTACCGATCAGAAGGAAAACAAATTTTCTTAAATTATAAATACATTTACTTTCTTTATCATGTTCACCTAAGCCGTAACTGATCAATTTGGTAAAATTAAAGAAATGTGAATAAATTGAAACTTGGTAACCATACTACAAGTAACAATGTTTCATATAGGTTTACCCAAAAACATTCTGCTTTAAACCAAGGGGATCGGCATCATCGCAACTCCGTTCATCACCAGGGGTAATATTGTTGCTAAAGTCGCTAATAGAATATCTTAAAGACTTTCGGTTGTCTTCTTCTTCCCAGTAATCAGGATTGAGGTTATCAAGTCCATAGTGTTTAAGAACTATTTTTTTAAAAATATTTAATATATTTATAGTTAAAATTTTTGATTGGCATTATAAGTTATATAAAAAAGGTCATAGAGTTGGGAAAAATCAAAACCTGCTGCTTCCTCCGAGAATTGAGTATCGTATATTGATAATCGGTACATGAGAAAATAATTTCGCTTCTTTGCGGTTCTAAACCATGGACTAGCAAAATGTACCTCCGAGGAAATCTTACTTTTTTGAGAAAATTACAGATCAACATAAAATTACCTTAT